TCCTCATCTCCTCTCACTGACCTTCTCCTCACCCCAGCAACACCCCAGCAACACCCCAGCAACACCCAGCAACATCCCAATATCCCTGACATCCTCATCTCCTCTCACTGACCTTCTCCTCACCCCCAGCAACACCCCAGCAACCACCCTAGCAACACCCCAGCAACACCCTAGCAACACCCCAGCAACACCCTAGCAACACCCCAACATCCCTAACATCCTCATTTCCTCTCACTGGCATTCTCCCCACCCCAGCAAACACCCCAGCAACACCCCAGCAACACCCCAGCAACATCCCAATATCCCTGACATCCTCATCTCCTCTCACTGACCTTCTCCTCACCCAGCAACACCCCAGCAACACCCCAGCAACATCCCAATATCCCTGACATCCTCATCTCCTCTCACTGACCTTCCTCCCCCCCCCAGCAACACCCCAGCAACACCCCAGCAACACCCCAGCATCCCTGACATCCTCATTTCATCTCACTGGCATTCTCCTCACCCCAGCAACACCCCAGCGTCCCTGACATCCTCATCTCCTCTCACTGGCATTCTCCTCACCCCAGCAACACCCAGCAACACCCCAGCATCCCTGACATCCTCATCTCCCCCCACTGGCACTTTCCACACCAGCAAACACTCCAATCATCCTCCCCTCCACACACAGGCACTCTCCCCCACCCCAGCAACACCGCCAGCATCCTCCCCTCCTCTCACTGGCACTCTCCTCACCCCAGCAACACCCCAGCATCCCTGACATCCTCATCTCCTCTCTCTGGCATTCTCCTCACCCAGCAACACCCCAGCATCCCTGATATCCTCATCTCCTCTCACTGTCGTTCTCCTCACCCAAGCAACACCCCAGCATCCCTGACATCCTCATCTCCTCTCACTGGCATTCTCCTCACCCAAGCAACACCCCAGCATCCCTGACATCCTCATCTCCTCTCACTGGCATTCTCCTCACCCCAGCAACATCCCAGCATCCCTGACATCCTCATCTCTCCTCACTGGCACTTTCCCCACACCAGCAACACTCCAATCATCCTCCCCTCCACACACAGGCACTCTCCCCACCCCAGCAACACCGCCAGCATCCTCCCCTCCTCTCACTGGCACTCTCCTCACCCCAGCAACACCCCCAGCATCCCTAACATCCTCCACTCACTGTCACTCTTCCCACACCAGCAATACCCCTACCTTCCTCCCCTCCACACGCAGGCACTCTCCCCACCCCAGTGGCACCACTGGGGAGAACGTCATCCTTCACTATCTACATAGGAAGCAGCGGGCTCCTGGTAATGATGAAAGATAGCCCTCCTGATGCATATTCCTTTGAAATCACAGTGACAGCCTGAAGTATGCCTTGTTAGGCAGGTGGAGCTGTGAGAGGCAGGGGAAGGAAGGGTAGCAGGCAAGGAGAGGGAGGAGGAGAAGGCAGGGAGAGGGAGGAGAGAAGGCAGGGAGAGGGAGGAGAGAAGGCAGGGAGAGGGAGGAGAGAAGGCAGGGAGAGGGAGAGAGAAGGCAGGGAGAGGGAGGAGAGAAGGCAGGGAGAGGGAGGAGAGAAGGCAGGGAGAGGGAGGAGAGAAGGCAGGGAGAGGGAGGAGAGAAGGCAGGGAGAGGGAGGATAGCAGGCAGGGAGAGGGAAAAGCAGGCAGGGAGAAAGAGGAGAGGAGGCAGGGAGAGAGAGGGAATCAGGCAGAGAGAGGGAGGGTAGGAGGCAGGGAAAGGGACCATAACATTGACCTGAATCATAACATGGTACAATTTCGTGTTATGGTACAATTTAGTGTTGTGGTACAATTCAGTGTTATGGTACAATTTAGTGTTGTGGTACAATTTAGTGTTGTTGTACAATTCAGTGTTATGGCACAAGTCAATGTTGTGGTACAAGCCAGCGTTATGGTATAAGCCAGTGCTATGATACAAGCCAGTGTTATGGTACAAGCCAGTGTTATGGTACAAGTCAGTGTTATGGTACAAGCCAGTGTTATGGTACAAGCCAGTGTTATGATACAAGCCAGTGTTATGGTACAAGCCAGTGTTTAGGTACAAGCCAGTGTTATGGTACAAGCCAGTGTTATGGTACAAGTCAGTGTTATGGTACAAGCCAGTGTTATGGTACAAGCCAGTGTTATGGTACAAGCCAGCGTTATGGTACAAGCCAGTGTTATGGTACAAGCCAGTGTTATGATACAAGCCAGTGTTATGGTACAAGCCAGTGTTATGGTACAAGCCAGTGTTATGGTACAAGCCAGTGTTATGGTACAAGTCAGTGTTATGGTACAAGCCAGTGTTATGGTACAAGCCAGTGTTATGGTACAAGCCAGTGTTGTGGTACAAGCCAGTGTTATGGTACAAGCCAGTGTTATGGTACAAGCCAGTGTTATGGTACAAGCCAGTGTTATGGTACAAGCCAGTGTTATGGTACAAGCCAGTGTTATGGTACAAGCCAGTGTTGTGGTACAAGCCAGTGTTATGGTACAAGCCAGTGTTATGGTACAAGCCAGTGTTGTGGTACAAGCCAGTGTTATGGTACAAGCCAGTGTTATGGTACAAGCCAGTGTTATGGTACAAGCCAGTGTTATGGTACAAGCCAGTGTTGTGTACAAGCCAGTGTTTATGGTACAAGCCAGTGTTATGGTACAAGCCAGTGTTATGGTACAAGCCAGTGTTATGTACAAGCCAGTGTTATGGTACAAGCCAGTGTTATGGCACAAGCCAGTGTTATGGTACAAGCCAGTGTTATGGTACAAGCCAGTGTTATGGTACAAGTCAGTGTTATGGTACAAGCCAGTGTTATGGTACAAGCCAGTGTTATGGTACAAGTCAGTGTTATGGTACAAGCCAGTGTTATGGTACAAGCCAGTGTTATGGTACAAGCCAGTGTTATGGTACAAGCCAGTGTTATGGTACAAGCCAGTGTTATGGTACAAGCCAGTGTTATGGTACAAGCCAGTGTTATGGTACAAGCCAGTGTTATGGTACAAGCCAGTGTTATAGTACAAGCCAGTGTTATGGTACAAGCCAGTGTTATGGTACAAGCCAGTGTTATGTACAAGCCAGTGTTATGGGACAAGCCAGTGTTATGGTACAACGCCAGTGTTATGGTACAATAGCCAGTGTTATGGTACAAGCCAGTGTTATAGTACAAGCCAGTGTTATGGTAAAAGCCAGTGTTATGGTACAAGCCAGTGTTATGGTACAAGACAGTGTTATGGTACAAGCCAGTGTTATGGTACAAGCCAGTGTTATAGTACAAGCCAGTGTTATGGTACAAGCCAGTGTTATGGTACATAGAGTCATCACCAAAAGACTAAGTATCAAACACATTCTTCGAGAGTATCAACCAAGTATAAATCCCTATGACATCTTCCCGTCGTGAGTAAAGTCTTCCCGAATAAGGGATGCTTGATGAAGTCATAGACATGAGGAAATACTGCATGTAGGCCGTAGGCTGCAGGCTGCAGGCTCCTACATATAGACTGCAACACAATATTTGACACGAATTGTGTCAGATATTATTTGGCGTGCTAAATGGTCATCTTGGAAATAAAGACAAGTACAGTGTTATTATTATTGTTAATTTGAGATTCCATCTCGCTTGATCTCGACCTGACTATCTATTATGGATAGATAATAGAATATCCGTTGTTTATATGCAATGGATATTCTGTAAGGAGCTCTCAGCTATTTTGTATAACTACTGGAGAACTATAAACTAGCCACTACCATCCACAGGGTGGATATGAGGTACACAATAAACTAGCCACTACCATCCACAGGGTGGATATGAGGTACACAATAAACTAGCCACTACCATCCACAGGATGGATATGAGGTACACAAAAAACTAGCCATTACCATCCACAAGGTGGATATGAGGTACACAATAAACTAGCCGCTACCATCCACAGGGTGGAATGAGGTACACAGTAAACTAGCCACTACCATCCACAGGGTGGATATGAGGTACACAATAAACTAGCCACTACCATCCACAGGATGGATATGAGGTACACAATAAACTAGCCATTACCATCCACAGGATGGATATGAGGTACACAATAAACTAGCCACTACCATCCACAGGGTGGATATGAGGCACACAATAAACTAGCCACTACCATCCACAGGATGGATATGAGGTACACAATAAACTAGCCACTACCATCCACAGGATGGATATGAGGTACACAATAAACTAGCCACTACCATCCACAGGGTGGATATGAGGTACACAATAAAGTAGCCACTACCATCCACAGGATGGATATGAGGTACACAATAAACTAGCCACTACCATCCACAGGATGGATATGAGGTACACAATAAACTAGCCACTACCATCCACAGGATGGATATGAGGTACACAATAAACTAGCCACTACCATCCACAGGATGGATATGAGGTACACAATAAACTAGCCACTACCATCCACAGGATGGATATGAGGTACACAATAAACTAGCCACTACCATCCACAGGATGGCTATGAGGTACACAAACTAGCCACTACCATCCACAGGGTGGATATGAGGTACACAATAAACTAGCCACTACCATCCACAGGGTGGATATGAGGTACACAATAAACTAGTTGAATAAGACACATGTACAACACCTGTGTGTCTTTATTGATGAATAAGACATTACATCTAACATATGTGGAATATCTATAAGGGTGATAATGAGTGCCACGACTAGTGCCATAAGTGCCACCACAACTGGCATCACAAGCGCCATTCTGAACGCCACCATAAGTGCCAACATGAGTGTCAATAGAGGTGCCAGCACCTGGGGGCGTGTGTCCCCCACAAACAATAGGTCAGAAACAACTTAGACGAGAGACACAATAGGTTTTGACACCTGCGGCCGCAGGCAGCCAATCAGAGCAGCCCTTATCGCCACTCTCGGCCAATCATTAACATAATCAATCGCCAGGCTCCGCCCCTCCAGAGGATCGCGAGTATATAAAGGGGAACGCAAGAGAAAACGGGCTCAGTTACTTTATGTTCATTGATGGTTGAGGTTCTCCTGTGTGTCTGAACCACTGATGCCCGTGTGAATGGAGAGGTTCACCTCGTTCTAAGGAACTACAGCCGTTCTAACTATCCGGTCTCGGATACTAGCAGGCTCCTTCTGCTGGTGCTATTTCTACTACTACTAGCGCCTACCTGCTGGAACTTAGTCTAATCTTAGAAGGTAAATATTTGTGGCAGCTATTTAGGTTGTGATTGAGGACGGAGGTTCGAGCCTTCTCTACGTGTTATTTGTGACCCACAAGTGTTTAACGCTTACAGTAAGAAATTTATTATTAAAAAGAAAATGCAGATTTATTGTCTGATAGCTAATGAAAAATATTATTATTATTATTATTATTATTATTATTATTATTATTATTATTATTATTATTATTATTATTATTATTATTATTATTATTATTATTTATTATTATGATACCAAAAGTTGTAGACGTGTGTGTGTGTGTGTGTGTGTGTAGCAGGTTAATACCTTGTGGCAGCTGGTTGAAGAGTCTTGGTCCGCGCATGTTGACATAATGTTCTCTTATTGTGCCCAAGGTGCCCCTGATATTCACTGGGTTTATTTTACACTTCCTTCCATACCTGTCACTGCAGTGTTGTTATAGCAGTGTGTAGAGCTATATCTGTCACTGCAGTGTTGTTATAGCAGTGTGTAGAGCTATATCTGTAACTGCAGTGTTGTTATGGCTGCACTTTCCAGGTATATATTATCAAGCACCTCTATCTCATTCGCTCCAGAGAGTACATATTTAGGACACTGAGGCGTTCCCAGTAACGTAAATGCTTCATTGGCTCTATGTGGGCCGTAAATAAACTCTACATCTGCAAAAGCTCTGCTCTATTTCTCCTACTTCCAACGAAGCTGTGAGCACACAGTAATATTCTAGACATGGAAGGAGAAATGACTGAGAAAGAGCCACACCACTGTTGAGAAAGTTCTCGTTATCCACTCTATCATTCTCGTGGCCTTGGCTGCATCTGCCTTTCTCTTCCCCAGACAAAAGAGCCTCTGGCATTATTTTAGAGGTCTTTTGTTTACCTGGTCTCTAGGTGAGTGTAAGATTTTTTTCTGATTTCTAACCCAGGAAGGTTAGCCACCCAGGATGACCCAGGGGGAGGGTTAGCCACCCAGGATGACCCAGGGGGAGGGTTAGCCAGCCAGGATGACCCAGGGGGAGGGTTAGCCAGCCAGGATGACCCAGGGGGAGGGTTAGCCAGCCAGGATGACCCAGGGGGAGGGTTAGCCAGCCAGGATGACCCAGGGGGAGGGTTAGCCAGCCAGGATGACCCAGGGGAGGGTTAGCCAGCCAGGATGACCCAGGGGGAGGGTTAGCCAGCCAGGATGACCCAGGGGGAGGGTTAGCCAGCCAGGATGACCCAGGGGGAGGGTTAGCCACCCAGGATGACCCAGGGGAGGGTTAGCCAGCCAGGATGACCCAGGGGGAGGGTTAGCCACCCAGGATGACCCAGGGGGAGGGTTAGCCACCCAGGATGACCCAGGGGGAGGGTTAGCCAGCCAGGATGACCCAGGGGGAGGGTTAGCCACCCAGGATGACCCAGGGGGAGGGTTAGCCAGCCAGGATGACCCAGGGGGAGGGTTAGCCAGCCAGGATGACCCAGGGGGAGGGTTAGCCACCCAGGATGACCCAGGGGGAGGGTTAGCCAGCCAGGATGACCCAGGGGGAGGGTTAGCCACCCAGGATGACCCAGGGGGAGGGTTAGCCACCCAGGATGACCCAGGGGGAGGGTTAGCCAGCCAGGATGACCCAGGGGGAGGGTTAGCCAGCCAGGATGACCCAGGGGGAGGGTTAGCCAGCCAGGATGACCCAGGGGGAGGGTTAGCCAGCCAGGATAACCCAGGGGGAGGTTTAGCCAGCCAGGATGACCCAGGGGGAGGGTTAGCCAGCCAGGATGACCCAGGGGGAGGGTTAGCCACCCAGGATGACCCAGGGGGAGGGTTAGCCACCCAGGATGACCCACGTAAGTAAGTTTATTCAGGTACACACAGTTACACAGATCATCATACATAACAACACATGGGTAGACAACCTGGGGTAACATAAATAAGTCAGACTCACTGACTTATTTACATTGTGGTCCTTTTACCTTAATATTATAATATAAAGGTTATAATATTTTCCTATTATTTTATAATGAAGATAATATCTTATTATTAAACTAAAAAGACTATCTACTACACGAGGGTCATTATGACTATCTACTACACGAGGGTCATTAAGACTGTCTACTACACGAGGGTCATTAAGACTATCTACTACACGAGGGTCATTAAGACTATCTACTACACGAGGGTCATTAAGACTATCTACTACACGAGGGTCATTAAGACTATCTACTACACGAGGGTCATTAAGACTATCTACTACACGAGGGTCATTAAGACTATCTACTACACGAGGGTCATTAAGACTATCTACTACACGAGGGTCATTAAGACTATCTACTACACGAGGGTCATTAAGACTATCTACTACACGAGGGTCATTAAGACTATCTACTACACGAGGGTCACTAAGACTATCTACTACACGAGGGTCATTAAGACTATCTACTACACGAGGGTCACTAAGACTATCTACTACACGAGGGTCATTAAGACTATCTACTACACGAGGGTCATTAAGACTATCTACTACACGAGGGTCACTAAGACTATCTACAATACGAGGGTCATTACTAGGAATAAGGTAAAATTTACACGTATGTTAGCTAAAAAATAGAAAATCATTCCCCTCCCTTTCTGTAGCTACATTCATCAGACACCTTTTGGCAGTCTTCTTGAACTGGTTCAAGCTATGACTGGCTTTGACATGTGCGGGTAGTCTGTTCCAGTCCTTTATTGCTGTACAATAAAAGGTGTTTGAAGCCTGGCCACTGACTGTGGGTACTACAAAGTTGTGTTTGAAGCCTGGCCACTGACTGTGGGTACTACAAAGTTGTATTTGAAGCCTGGCCACTGACTGTGGGTACTACAAAGTTGTGTTTGAAGCCTGGCCACTGACTGTGGGTACTACAAAGTTGTGCTTAAATCCTGGCCAATGACTGTGGCTACTACAAAGTTGTGCTTGAAGCCTGGCTACTGACTGTAGCTACTACAAAGTTGTGTTTGAAGCCTGGCCACTGACTGTGGGTACTTCAAAGTTGTGTTTGAAGCCTGGCCACTGACTGTGGGTACTACAAAGTTGTGCTTGAAGCCTGGCCACTGACTGTGGGTACTTCAAAGTTGTGTTTGAAGCCTGGCCACTGACTGTGGGTACTTCAAAGTTGTGTTTGAAGCCTGGCCACTGACTGTGGGTACTACAAAGTTGTGCTTGAAGCCTGGCCACTGACTGTGGGTACTACAAAGTTGTGTTTGAAGCCTGGCCACTGACTGTGGGTACTACAAAGTTGTGTTTGAAGCCTGGCCACTGACTGTGGGTACTACAAAGTTGTGTTTGAAGCCTGGCCACTGACTGTGGGTACTACAAAGTTGTGTTTGAAGCCTGGCCACTGACTGTGGGTACTACAAAGTTGTGCTTGAAGCCTGGCCACTGACTGTGGGTACTACAAAGTTGTGCTTGAAACCTGGCCACTGACTGTGGGTACTACAAAGTTGTGTTTGAAGCCTGGCCACTGACTGTGGGTACTACAAAGTTGTGCTTGAAGCCTGGCCACTGACTGTGGGTACTACAAAGTTGTGTTTCAAGCCTGACCAATGACTGTGGGTACTACAAAGTTGTGCTTGAAACCTGGCTACTGACTGTGGGTACTACAAAGTTGTGCTTGAAGCCTGGCCACTGACTGTGGGTACTACAAAGTTGTGCTTGAAGCCTGGCTACTGACTGTGGGTACTACAAAGTTGTGTTTGAAGCCTGGTCAATGACTGTGGGTACTACAAAGTTGTGCTTGAAGCCTGGCCACAGTTACACAACCCAGGGCAACATGGGTTTAGAACAGGTCGCTCCTGTCTGTCTCAACTATTGGATCACTACGACAAGGTCCTAGATGCACTGGAAGACAAAAAGAATGCAGATGTAATATATACAGACTTTGCAAAAGCCTTGAACAAGTGTGACCATGGCGTAATAGCGCATAAAAATGCGTGCTAAAGGAATAACAGGAAAAGTCGGTCGATGGATCTATAATTTCCTCACTAACAGAACACAGAGAGTAGTCGTCAACAGAGTAAAGTCCGAGGCAGCTACGGTGAAAAGCTCTGTTCCACAAGGCACAGTACTCGCTCCCATCTTGTTCCTCATCCTCATATCTGACATAGACAAGGATGTCAGCCACAGCACCGTGTCTTCCTTTGCAGATGACACCCGAATCTGCATGACAGTGTCTTCCATTGCAGACACTGCAAAGCTCCAGGCAGACATCAACCAAATCTTTCAGTGGGCTGCAGAAAACAATATGAAGTTCAACGATGAGAAATTTCAATTACTCAGATATGGTAAACATGAGGAAATTAAATCTTCATCAGAGTACAAAACAAATTCTGGGTACTACAAAGTTGTGCTTGAAGCCTGGCTACTGACTGTGGGTACTACAAAGTTGTGTTTGAAGCCTGGTCAATGACTGTGGGTACTACAAAGTTGTGTTTGAAGCCTGGCTACTGACTGTGGGTACTACAAAGTTGTGCTTGAAGCCTGGCCACTGACTCTGGGTACTACAAAGTTGTGCTCTCTCCCCCTGGTACTATGATTGCTTTGGTTCTCGACCTTGACAAAATTGACAGCTAGATAATTCTGGACACTGTGATTAATTTTATAAACATGATTTAGCTTCAGTTGTTTTACTCTGTCTTCAACATTCAGCATATCCAACTGCTGTAATTCATCCTGGCCTACATGTTCTCTTGGTCCCAGCCCCAGGATGAATCTTACGATTTTGTTCTGGGTGATTTGCAGTCTATCTTTCAGTTTTTTTGTCAAGGCAGAGTGCCATTAAGAGCAAGCTTAATTCATATGGCATTGTATAAGGGCTAGACATAGGGACCTGCGAGCCTCAGTAGGTAGACACTGTGCCTCAGTAGGTAGACACTGTGCCTCAGTAGGTAGACACTGTTCCTCGGTAGGTAGACACTGTGCCTCAGTAGGTAGACGCTGTGCCTCGGTAGGTAGACACTGTGCCTCGGTAGGTAGACGCTGTGCCTCGGTA